TTAATTCCCTTGTGCAGAAATGTGTATGAACCCTGAAATTCTTTCAGGTTTGTTCTGATCAGCAGTTTTCTCTCTAGGCAAGGAGCAGCGGCAGCAACAGTTAAGTCTTTCATTATGAAGCATGCTGATTATGATTTTACTTCTCATTTTAACCTATGCCGTTTGACATAAAATCTACGTGCTATTTACTGAATTTATAGACTGAGCAAGTATGTGACAAAATGAAACATAAAAGAAAAAATCATCATAAAGCTAACTGTTAGTAAAACATAAATAAAATGTCACTAATCTTTTTTCAAATATGTCCAACTATTATAAGGGTAAAATATTTAATGTTACCTGATAAAATTTGTAAAGCTGATTTTATTCTCAAATTTGTTTTGTAATAATGTTTATTAAATTATGTTTAATAATAATGCATTCTACTTGTGGATCTATTTGATTCGTAGGATGGTATCACAAAAGTTCAGGCATAGCATATATCTTTAATTGAATTTGTACAGTTCCCATTTGTTGATGGGTCCTTAATTTTTTTTTTTTTTTTTTTTTCATTAATAGTTCTTAAAAGTACTTAATTTCCATGTGCAGAAATGTATATGAACCCTGTATAAGCATTGAAATCTTGAAAATATTTTAAAAAAGAAGCATTAAAATATGAACCCTGAAAATGGAAACTTAAAAAATGAAAAAGTAATCAACAAATCAAGTAATTATGGGCACTTATCGGAAATTGGTTGACTTTTTAAGGAGAACAAACTAACTCCTGATAAATTAACAATAATTAATCGCTTCCCTTACAAATTTTTTTGAAAACAATTACAAAAAATCATCACATTTTTTTTTTATTTTACTATTAAATACAATGAAACGAAACAAATCAAAATATGTAGGTTTTAAGTTGAATTTTTAATTTTTTGAAGATGTAAAAGCATTTAGTTTTAATATTAGTTTACTATCCCGAGTTATCTCGGGCAAATGAAAAATAGTTAAATGTTGGTCTTTGTATGATAGTTTTTGAAACAAGGAACAACACAAAGTGATACCTGATATATTCTACATTGGTGTGTGGTCTCTTTTCTTACTGGTTTACTGCTGGAATCTCTTTCAAGGAAGCACAGACTACACGGTCGCTCTAAATTTGATTCTCCCCCCTCAACCTCTTCATAATCACTGTCTGAAAAATCATCGCCATTATTTTATTTTATTTATTATTTATTATTATTTTTTTTTTTTCAATGCATGTATCCTCTCTTTATACGTTACTAATCCACAAGCTGACGTATACTATACAATAGGGAAACACGTGACCAGTCCCTCCAAAAGAACCACGCAACCAACAAAATCAGGCAAACTGCCAATCAAAACTGAATATTTCCTTTCATTTCCTCTAGGTTGAGTAAAGCTGTGATAAAACAAATCGTACTAACAAATTCTGCTTTGCCCGAGTTAATAATTGGTGTTTCATCTTTTACTCAAGTAAGAATAATGATGCCACAGTGGTTGTAAGTTGAGTTTAAAACAAAGAGGTAGATTTTAAGTGAGATGAATTTAATTATATAAATATTTATAATTAACTTAACTGATGAATAAAATAAGCACAAACCAGTCCAGGAATTAAGCAATGCTTTAAAAGCTGCAATAAATATTAAATTGTTCATGATGTATTCAGAAACATGGCTGTGTTACTTTACCTCACTGCATCATCATCTGAAGAGATGTCACAACATATGTAGCATCTCAGTTAGTTTCTATTTATTCTGTCATATTTTAATATATCAAAAATATATAAATAGTTTATTATGCTTACACATATGAGTGATGATTCACTGAAGAAAGACTAAAGACATTAGATAAAAGCATTTTATTTTTCCTTTAATTAAAAGCAAAATATTCAATTAATACTGCTTATTTATTAGTTTTTTTTTTTTTTTTTTTTTTTTTTTTTTTAGTTGTCAAATAATACACTTACTTCCAAAAGTTAAGCACGAAGATATAGAATGAAAAAAAATCAAGAAATACTGCTTTGATTGACACAAAATTCGGCAAGAATGTAGCATATATGTTTATGCATAAAACAGAATCAGCAATTATATACAGAAATGAAAACAATATTTAATTTTTGTAAGTTATCAGATAATGGCATACTGGAGACTTAAACAGAATTATGTATAAAGTGAAAATAAACAGCATAAAATGAAAAAGAGGACTTTAATAGGATATGTGATTCCCCCTCATATGTATACAAAGTTTACACCTTGGGACCATGCTTTCAATTAGGTGGTCAACCACTGCAGAATTAAGCAATCGCTATTCTTCTTGTAGAGCAGTTTTCAGCTCAATAAGAGTGGCTGGAGGTGAGAAACGTGAAGATACAGCATGACTGAGAGCATCCCAAAGATTTTCAATGGGATTAAGCTCGGGCGAATATGCTGGCCACGCCATACGTGCAAACCCTTCACTCTACAGGTAGTCATCGACGATGTCAGCTCTATGGGGACATGCATTATCGTCCATTAAAATAAAAGTAGGGCCGACTGCTGACTGCTGCAGCGTACAATCTCACAATGGGTTCTAGGACTTCATCTCGATACAGGACGGCCGTCAAAGAACCCCGTTTAAAGATGTGCAGGTCAGTGTGGTATCCTAATGAAATCCCTGCCGACACCGTAATGCTTCTGCATAATGCGTGATGTTTTAGGACTGATTGCGGGTTCGTTGTTCGCGCCATATCCTTATGCGTTTGTCATCTGGTTCCAGAGCAAATCTCGACTCATCAGTAAGCATGGCATTGCCCCAGTCCAATTGACATGTTCCCGGCATCATCTGGCTCCAGAGCAAATCTTGACTCATCAGTAAGCATGACATTGCCCCAGTCAGACACATTCCAATTGACATGTTCCCGGCACCACTGTAATCGTGCCGCTTTAGATTGGACGGATAGAGGAACACAAACTCGAGGTACCCGAATATACAGTCCACTCATATGTAATCTTCAGCTTACAGTAGCTGCAGATATTGCCTTACTAATGGATGCTGTAACCATAGATGCCACACATGTGGAGGTCGCTCTGCTATTCCATTTGGTTGCAATAGCAATATATCAATCTTCCTCGAGGGTTGTAACCCTAGGGCGACCGGCTACGGGCCTTTGGACAACTGTCTGTGTGGTTCGGAATTGTTTCCATAAACGTGAAATTACAGAATGATGAACGTGGAAGAAAAGAGCAACATCTGTGATCAACTGTCGTGCTTCAATGCACCCCACAGCACGCCAGTACTCAGAATCTTCCATTCGTCTTCTGGAAGTCATAGAAACACTTATGTCTTGAAAACGAAATGTACGAAAGTTTTAAATACTTTCTATCAGCACTTACAATCAACTTCTTTAACCTTTCATAAAGCTGGCTTCTTATAAGACTGCCTTTTTTGCATGAAAGCGCGATTGGCTGTTACCTAACATATTTGCATACTTCCATCTACCTCTGCAGCAAATTGCATTGTCTTCAATTCTGATTGGCTTCCAGAAATTAGCATTTAACCATTCTGTGCCTAACTTTTGGAAGTGAGTGTTTATACACTATTGAAATGTTGGAAGTATTTGCATGACAGTTAAAGATATTTTAATATTTTTATGTTTTGGGAATAGTTATTCTTAAATTTTTTGTAATATTAATCTTTGCACATTTAAAATAATTATTGCTTTAGTAAATGAATAAACATACGTAATCTTCAAATCTAATTTATTGTATTAAATGGTGTATAATGTTATTAATCATTTTTACATTTATCTCTTTTTCATACTGCTTGTTTGAGGCTAGACTAAACAAAAAAGCAGGCTAAATGCCATTTTGGTTTTCCCCCTCATGTAATAGGGATACAACTGAATTTCCCATAGAAAGCACTCCATAGAAAGCACACAGGGCTTATCTACCTAAGTGAAGGCATCCTTTCCCTTAGGTAGATAGCCCCTATGTGCATATTCAAGTACCCTGACTTCCATCCCTTTAATATCTCTGCCTTTTTCTTCCATAAATTGAAATAGTACTTTCCCAATAGGTTACTGTATTGCAAAAAAAAAAAAAAGGGCAGATATTTTGTGTTATAAGCATTGAATATATTCAAAATAATATCTGATAGTGTCTTTTTTAGATTATCAACCATATTTTGCAGTTTGGCAGTAACATTTCTCTAAGGGATGTTAGTGGGAAAGTACCACATACATTTCTAGTGCTGTGTATGAATTTAAAATTTTCAATCATATTCAATTGAATTAAATTTTGTCTTTCTATTGAAAATAATTTTTTCTTTAGTTGAAGATTAAAATATATTATTTTTTCATTTTTTATAAGAGCCAAGGTAAGATGAAGTTTCTGACAACAACATTTCATTCATGTAATGAATCCTATGTTCAAATAAAAAGGAACGTATGATTGTTTAGCTCTTCTAAATGTCTTGATCCTTTGCACTCCATTGGGACTATTATGAAGAGATTACTAATGTTTACCATTGATGTTGAGGCGTCATCTTCCAAAATGACAATACTCAGCATACATTTCGATGAGACCTAATGAATATGTTTGGAATATTTCATGTCATCTCCTATATTTACTAGACTAAGCTCCCTCCTATTTTCATCTCTTTAGGTCACTTCAAAATTCTGTGAATGGTCCCGAATACACCTCTTTTCGAGGACTTAAGCAGCATCTTGATAATTTTTGAAACAAATCTAATGATTTTTTTAAAGGCATTTTGTAGCTGCCCATGTTAAAAAAAAAACTTTCTGGGTGATCCAATACCAAAACAGTTGACCTGTTGAAAATTAAAGTAAAATAAAATCTGGGTATCATTTACATTTCTGGTAGAATTTAGAAACCTACAAGAATATAAGTAAAGGTTAAAATAAACGAATCTAAGAAGTTCAATTTGTATTTCATAAATCATCTTCAGAAAGTCTAAATGATTTATAAAAAAATATTTTTTAACATTCTTTTTCCATGTAGAATTGTTGATCTTGAAGTAGAAGAGGAGGAGGAAGAAGATGAAGAAATTGTCATTCAGAGACGCAGGCAACAAAGACAAGAATTATTAAAGGTATTCTTTTGTAATTGGTAGAACAAAATCTTCTTCCCTTGCCCTCTGCATGATAATTAAGTTTGACATAATTGCAGGTTACAGAATTTTGTACATTCTCAGAGAAGGTGTTTTTGAATTCATATAAAGAATATTGTAACTGCTTTTCTAATAATCTTTGACTGTAAAATATTCCACCTGACCAGGCTATCTTATGAAGTGCAGCAGCATGCATGGCTTTCAATATTATTGCATTCTTTTGGTGTAACGAAAACATTTTATAGAATAATCAAAATGTTTGTAATGTGTTTTGTATCATTTTTCTTGTGATATGAAAGCCAAAACTGTAATGGAAAATTTCAACTTTACTAAAATCATCATTTTGAACATATAAGTAAAGTTGAAAGTGTACATTTTATTGTGTATATCACAACATGCTTAAATTTTGTTTTCCATAATCTTAAAAATTGGCAAATTCAGAAGTTATGCATTGTGTCGTGGTCTTTGAGATATTAATGTAAAATAAGTTATTTCTTCGGGATTTTAAGTTAATTGGATATTGTGGTTTTAATGGTAAGGAAAACAATACAGACTTGGTACTTAGACTGTCTACATTTGCTAAGCAAAAGTGCATTTATATGCATATAATGTTACAGAAAATTAAAGGCCGATGCTGTAACCCTACATTTAATACTCATTGGGCATTTTTCATATCAGCATTTGTAGAAAATTGACCGATTTTTATCATTATCTTCAGAAAATTTGTCACGTGATGTGCTTAGATTAGTTCCAGAAAGCTGCTGGTAGATAATTGCTTTTCTTTTTAATGCTACAACTTTTTCACAAACGTCCATCCAAGCATAGAATTCCGCACAATTCATGTTTGAAAAGGTGTTTTCAATTCTTTTTTTACTCCTTTATACAACGTAAAGGAGGGAGTGTAGCTGCAAAAAATTTCAGATATCATATTTCAACAGAAGTATTTATTTTGACTGTTCCCCCAACTTATTTAGACAAGCCCTCCCCAACCCAATTACATACAGGCACAGTAAAGGACACTTTTTTTCCAAAATGGATTCAAAACAAATTTTTCCCGTGACATCTGTATGTAGGTACATATGTATCTCCCATAACTCGATAACAGTTAGCTTTAGAATGTTGAAATTTTGCATATAGGACTGTTATAACATCTGGTTGTGTACCACCTTCTTTTATTGCAGTTGGCAGTACCAAATGTGTATACACACATTTACCCCTTTAACTGTCCTTTATTTTCGCATCACAATCGTTGGTTGTAGTCATATATTTCCAATTACAGAAGAGTGTTAAATAATGAAAATATTCATGTTTTGCAATATTGAATTAAAAATAATTTTCAACTAATAACAAAATCTATAACAACAATTTCTGTATGTAGTTAGTGTGGCAATATTTAATTTGTTTATTATTGTTCTAAAAAGAATATTCTTTAAAGTTATCATTGTAATGCAGATTTTTTACAGCTTGCTTGAATTGCATGTTACACATGTTATATATCTAACGTAAGCTAATAATAATTCACCTGTTTCATTTAGTAAAACAATCAAAAAAAATTATATAATTTAATAGGCCACACAAAGGAGTTGTGGTGGTCATCAGGTTTTTTTAGTTTTAGTTTTTCTTGCTAATTCATTTGCACTTATATCCGTATTCTCTGTGCCATAAAAGACTTTCACACTCAATTCACATCAGTGATGTTCTTTCATTGCTCTAATAACATTTGATAACAGTGTTAACTTCAAAATACTTAAGAGAGACCTTCCGAGACTTGTACTGTGAAGATATCAGTAAGAAGATCATCATTCTGCAGTTTATACCATTTCAAAAGCCCTTAAGTGAAAATTACTGACATCATTTACACCTTTGGATTATACTTACAGTCCACTATTAAGCTTTGAGGATTCCCCCCTTTTTTCCAATTACTAATATTTTTTTTTTTTTTTTTTTTTTTTTTTTTTTACCATGCATATTGAGGCAATATTAAAGGGCTGTGTGATCTTTCACTATTTTAGACCCATTTGAACTTTCAGGTAAAGCACCTACTTCATCGGCATTATAAAATATTTTTAGACAAATCCTTCATAGACCATTTAGGACATTCTTTTGACACCTGTGTTCCTGCAGAAAATAAATCAGCAACCTTTTCTTCACCATGAATGCATTTGTAAGTAATGTTTTCTTTTTTTACTTCCTTGTACGAAGTAAAAAAGGAAGTATTGTAATCGTGAAAAGTTTCAGGCAGCATATTTCAACAAAAATATCCATTTTGACCGCTATCGAATGTAATTTAACGATGTTTTTGTGTGATATCTGTACATAAGGAAAGAATAAAATACTATTTTCCTCCAAAAAAATTATAAAACTGTTTTAAAATGAATTCTGAAGAGAATTTTTTGTGGCGTCTTTACGAACGTATGTATGTACAAACGTACCTTGCATAACTCAAAAACGAGTAGCCTCAGAACGTTGAAATTTTGTATATAGGACTGCTATAACATGTAGATGTGCACCTCATATTTTGGTTACAATTGGCCGTACCAAGCGTATATAAATATATTTATATATATATCCAGTCTGTTACCCGGCTCAGTGATCTCAGTTTCTTTACTCTTATATGTTTGTAAATTGTACATTTTTTGCTTTAAAAATGATTGAATTATGTTGTTCTTATCTTCCGGTTAAGGTTTTTATGCCAAAGTTGTTTAAGTGTCGCTTAGCCTAATAATTTTTTTGATGGCCGCCATTGCTTGTTTACATTTGAAACAGCAGGATAGTGGATTTTTTTTAGTAAATCTAAAGAAACTTAGCTTCGCAACAACAAAGATAACGCCTTCATTTATTATTGCGAATTAAATCATGCTTAATTCTTTCTGGAATTTTTTCGAAGAAAATAAGCGTTTAAAATTTACTTCGTAATTTTTAATACAGATATTTTGAGTTTTTATGTATTTTTGCCTTGTCCCGAAGTGAGAACTGGATTAATTGAATGAGAAATACTCAATCGTCTGTGAAAAACTGTTTCCTTTTGTTTTGTTTGCTTAATTTCTTTTATGCATCGTTCTAGATTTAATATAATATTTGAATAGAACATAAGGCAATGATTAAATAATTCTTTAAATGATATAAATTTTGTGCATTCTGAGTTATAATATGAACGAAATATAATACTGTTAAGTGAACCTAGCGCCAGAGTGTCGCTATGGTAAACAAATAGAGTGAATTTTAAAGAATGCATTTATTCTATTGTGGTTTATGTGTTGTCGGCGAAGTAGGTTTAATTCAATCCAATAAGTTTAAATGAAATGCAAGAAAAAATGAGTATAATTTAATATTCCATACAAGGAAGTCCTGTGGTGTGCACATCAGTTTTTTTCCATAGGCCAAACCTATAATCTGTTGCTACAGAATCATCTTTCCAAATATTTATTGCTATTTCTTCAGCCTTCTACTGCGTCCATGAACTGTTGACTGCTTCTACTTCTTTTTTTTTTTTTTTTTTTTTTTTTTTTTTTTTTTTTTGTTTGTTTGTTTATTTGTGTGTGTGTGTGCGTGTGTTTGTGTAACAAACATTACATTTGTTAAACCAAATCTTCAGTGCTTTTTTAACATTGTGATCTTTCTTGCTGCAGTTTCATGTTATTATTTTCATTTCAATTTGATTTGCAAATAATATTTTAACCAATTTTTTTTTATCTTAGTAAGAGGAGTAGTGAAATATTTAACTTAAGAGCAGCATTCCATAGTCTCATTTTTGGGAGTTGGTAATAATAGTTTAATAAGTCAGATTTATCCCTTAGGTTTCTGTGATAGACTGTCTTTCTTTAGGCAAGCAGGAGCGGTGACGACGGCCAGTCTTTTGTTATGAATCATGCTGATTATGATTTTAATGCTCATTTTAACTTATGCTGCTTGACATAAAATCTACTTTTTATTTACTAAACCTCTAGACTGAGCAAGTATGTGACAAAATGAGACATTAAAAAAAAAAAAGAAAGAAAGAAAGAAAGCTGTTAGAAAAACGTAACTAAAATGTCACTTATCTTCTTTCAAATATGTCCAGTTATTATAAGTGTAAAATATTTAATGCTACTTGATAAATTTCGTAACATTTATTTTATTCTCAAACGTATTAATAAATATGTTAATTAAGTTATATTTCATAATAATGCATCTGACTTACGTATCTCTTTTATTTTTAGGATGGTAATGAAAAGTGAAGTTCAGGCATAGATATATTTTTAGTTGATTTATTCAGTTCCATTTGCTCATAGGTCCTTAATTTTTTTCATTAATTGTCCTTAAAAGTACTTAATTTCTATATGCAGAAATTTGTACGAAACCTGTTTCACAATTTGATAGGAATATCCAAATTATAACATTAACCATGATCACAGTAAGTGATGTATGTTATATAATATGATAATTAAAATGAACAATATATTTTGAACTGGTAACATGAGACAGATTTAAAATTTTTTATTTGCTATTTAAGGCTAACAGGGAGATAAAAGTTGATAATCTTACATTTGTACTTTTTCCCCCTTCTCTTTATAGAAACTAGGAGTGGAGCAACCTCAGGGAGGAAGTGGTATGTCATCTCCAGCTCATTCCAACAGTGGAACAGATACACCTGATTCCACTACTATTGGAGATCAGGTAAGAAAAGAAAATAATTATTTATATACAGTAAAAGTTCGAAGTTGGAGTAATGCTGGTATGGTATATCTTCACGTAACTTTCATTTTGAGGCTTAAACTTATCATACATACAACATAAACCACAGATAAACTGGCATGGATGATATAGAGGCATGACTATGGTACATTAAATATTACCATATTTTGTCACATATTTTTCCCCTTTACTAATTTTGTCTGAAAATCTAGAGCGGAGAATTAGCAAATATTTAAATTTCTGAAGGAACATAGTAAGAATATAACAAATGAAACGTAGTCATGGATACATTACTTGTAACTATCACTATATTATTTCCTTAAAAGGAATCTACATTCCAATAAGAATAAATACTAATACAGTCAAAAGTCGTTAATCCGGACTCGTCGGGACTTCGGCGATTCCGGGTTATCGATTTTTCCGGATTATAGATCATCAGTTTAAATCTCGTAAGATGGCATGCAGAAATTCTAAAATTAAAAATATGAAACCGTAATTTATGAAAATAAAGAACAATTATGATCTAAAGGGTATCAAAATTTGCAAAAAAAAAAAAAAAAAGCTTAATATTTATTTGTTTACTTTATTAAACATTTCTTTCAATGTAAGTTGTTTAAGTTTTGCTTCATTTCATGTGATAATACTTTCTCTTTAATTCTATTAAACAGACATAATTTCTTGTTCAGTTACAAAGTTCCGCTGTTCAAGTCCTATAATTGCTGTGTCTAGAACACCAATTAATTTGTCAATCGAAATTTTTTCGTTTTCAATAACCTCTGTCACTTTCTTCGCTATGGAAAGCGAATTATAATGAACAAGGAACTTGTTTTAAATCATATCAAAGACCGAGCATATCGAGATGAAATACTACATTTGGTAAGGAATTATAAGCAAATAAAATAAAAACATCTGCGCTGAAGATAAGGATAGTGTTGACAGATCAACTTCCAATTCATTACGCGCCTGCGGCGTCGACCCCCCCCCCCCCCGAGCAGCTTGAAATTGATAAACAGATTTCGGATTTCAAAACATACTTTCACTTTAGATCCTTTACATATTAACAAATATATATCGGAAATTCTATTTGATATAATCGAAAGTTTAAGCTTACTTTTATAAAATTGCTCTTACAGTCTGCAAAAAATAATAAGCCGGATCCAATTCGAAAATTAAGGAACCACGCAATCATCAACATTAACTGAAATAGATAATTAGATAATTTTATCTTATACGTCCATTATACATAAAACGCGCATGCAAAAACGTATTCTGCACTTGCGCACACTCATATGCGCAGTCGTAAAAGGTCTTACGCGCACGCGTAAACGCCTATGCGCATGTGTCATTACGACACATGCGCAGAAAATTTTTAGTTTTGAAGTCCGGATTATAGATCATTCCGAATTATGGGTGTCCGAATTAACGACTTTTGACTGTACAGTAGAAGTCCAGAAATCTGCAAAGCTTGGGACCAGAGGTTGTGCGGATTTTAGTATTTTGTGGGTATCAGGACAGAAAAGATAAATCGTAATATTTAGACTAAAAGTGCCAAATAAATTAGGCATATTAGATACATTTAATTAAATTATTGTATACAATTTATATTATTCATTTCCATTAGGCTCCTCTATTTTTAAATTAGCATGAATCTGCTTCCCCTTTTCTCTCAGGAGCAGTGCTGAAATTGGTACTCCATTACTCCGCCACTGCCAGAACCACTTGTACAAGACAGCATTGAGGTTTGCCGATTTCGCCTCATCTAAAGATTTCCAGTGTGTTATAATCACTGTTGCTGTAAAATTTCAATTACACAGTCCGTGTCGCAATTCCATACGATTCTGCTGTAAACCGAGGAGTAGCACCTGCCTCCATCTTTTGCAGAATTTCCACTTTTTGCATTACTGTCAATGCAACTTGTTTACATTTTACAACGTTGCAAGCAGTAAAAGCATGAGTGCGTTTCTTATCTGCCATTCTGAACACTGGTAGTTCAGTCTGAGGTTCGAATCTCGCGAACGGGCTGGCTGCATGGGCGTTTTCGTAACGTGTATACGAGCCAGTTTCCCTTAGAAAATCCTCCTCTTAGGCAGATAGCCCTAGTGTGCTTTGCCATAATTAAATAAACCAAACCACACCTTATCTGCCATTGTATTAAAAAGTGCTGAAATTTAAAATATTCTTAATTTATCATAAAATATCCAGATTAAAAAAAAAACGGCAGCACTAAACAATCTCGTGAAATAACAAAGCTCAGGAAGTACAACAACGGGAATCGTGAACTTGAAAGAAGAGCTGCGTGAATCGTCTTCTTTTTACGTCGATGCAGATTGGAGGGGAAAAAACTTTTATCATGATGTCAATACTTTGGTATTTACTTTAAGACTCATTATTATTTGGTAATTATGATGTCATTATCCAAAAGTATTTTTTCTTCAATATTTCGTACTCCATCTTCACTTCTCTGTCCCTGTAACTTAAAACTTCCCCATCCTTATGTTTGTCTCTGCTACTCTTTTGGCCTCAAATCATCCATAAATTATAGGAAAGGTAAATGTGCAGCCAACTGACCCAATAAAATTATAGACTGAATGTCAGTTCGCTTTTGCTTTGCTGTGATGGGTCTGTCTTGTATTGGGATGGCATAAAATGTAACAGCAAAGAATATTTCAACATGACCTTCACAGGCAGTTTGTGAGGATTTGTATTTGTTAACAGGACGAAAACAATCATTACATGGGTTAGTCCATTTTAAAATTTAGAAGAGCTGGTCTCTGAATGCATCGAGGAAGGGGGAAATTATGTAAATACTTTTTAATTTTCATAATTTGGCACTAAGAACCTGAGAGGATGTAAGGAAACACAATATTTTATCTTCATATGATTTGAAGTTGAAAGACTTAACCTGTTGATACTGGGAAAGTACAGTCAAAAGTCGTTAATTCGGTCACCCATAATTCGGAATGATCTATAATCCGGACCTCAAAACTAAAAACTTTCTGTGCATGCGCCGCGTTGACACATGCGCATAGGCATTTACGCGTGCGCGTAAGACCTTTTACGACTGCGCATATGAGTGTGCGCAAGTGCAGAATACGTTTTCGCGTGCGTGTTTTATGTATAATGGACGTATAAGCTAAATAATTATCTATTTCAGTTAATGTTGATGATTGCGTTGTTCCTTAATTTTCGAATTGGATCCGGCTTATTATTTTTTGCAGACTGTAAGAGCAATTTTATAAAAGTAAGCTTAAACTTTCGATTATATCAAATAGAATTTCCGATATATATTTGTTAATATGTAAAGGATCTAAAGCGAAAGTATGTTTTGAAATCCGAAATCTGTTTATCAATTTCACGCCGCAGTGGGCACATAATGAATTGGAAGTTGAACTGTCAGCACTATCCTTATCTTCAGAGCAGATGTTTTTATTTTATTTGGCTTATAATTCCTTACCAAATGTAGTATTTCATCTCGATGTGCTCCGTCTTTGATATGATTTAAAACAAGTTCCTCGTCATTATAATTCGCTTCCGATAGCGAAGAAAGTAACAGAGGTTATTGAAAACGAAAAAATTTCGATTGACAAATTAGTCAGCATTCTCGACACAGCAATTATAGGACTTGAACAGCGGAACTTTGTAACTGAACAAGAATTATGTCTGTTTAATAGAATAAAGAGAAAGTATTATCACATGAAACGAAGCAAAACTTAAACAACTTACATTGAAAGAAATGTTTAATAAAGTAAACAAATAAATATTAAGCTTTTTCTTTTTGAAAATTTTGATACCCTTTAGATCATAATTGTTCTTTATTTCATAAATTACGGTTTCATATTTTTAATTTTAGAATTTCTGCATGCCATCTTACGAGATTTAAACTGATGATCTATAATCCGGAAAAATCGATAACCCGGAATCGCCGAAGTCCCGACGAGTCCGGATTAACGACTTTTGACTGTACTGTATAATCAGATGTAGTATAGTTTTCAGTAAATGCTGTAAAGTAATATATAATATTTGGATGTTTTGAGAAGCATTGATTTATAAGATAAATTACTTTTTCCTTAGATTTACAGATTATAAATTAAGTTTCCTTAATAAAATAGAAATGGGTTTCTGAACTGTACTGTATAGAAAAGTTTGAAACTAGACTTAAGTTTTCAGTGCCATTTGTGGCATAAAGCTATTATTATTTCTGTGTATTTGAAACTCTAAAGAAATGTATAATAGATTAATTATAGCTGAATGTTCAATGTACTTCAGTGTAAAACTATATCCCTGGAAGAACATGTTTATATGTTACTTTTATAAGTGTTGTTCATTTTTATTTTATGGTCATTTGTACAAAATGAAAAAAAAAAACCTCCAATTTATTCTCATTTTACATAAATAGTGTTATGTCGCGAATTTCGGTTATTAATGTGTGTTTCGGGTCATTATTATTCTAGTATTTTTGTTTGTATTCATGTGTATTTTAATCTGGAAAAAAAAAAGTATTCTTAGGCTCTTAAGGTTTTATTTACCTCGTTATTCTTGAGTAGGAATTGTAACAAAGGCGGGGGACGGTTGCAGGAGCCATCTGGTTTGTGGCCTTTTACCGGCAATGGGGGCAGTGGGGTATGTGTGTCGCCCTTTTTAGCTAATGCGTGTGAAACAGAAATCGTTTTCCTGTCGCTTTGTTGGGGTTGCAGTTTTCTTACTTCAAGACAGTGCGGGTTAAACTAACCTTGGGTAGTTGGATTCTTGTGGAACTTGGTTTCGCTTGTTAGTTGGGGGGTCTATTTTTTTTCTCACGTTGTGAGTACAGATGTTTTTTGGATTGCATTGTCAGATTTTCTGGTGTTTGATTCATCATGGGTGTGTCATTTTCTCAATTCAGATAACATAAAATTCCGGGATTGGTAAGATTTAATTTTATGATTTTTTTGAAAGCCTATGAACTCACAGAGGCGGAGAAACCGAGATTTTACCTGAGGTGC